AGCTTTGTTCCTTCTGGATTGAGGATCCATGGGCTTTTGATATATACTGCTTATATATATCTTCTTTCTGGTGAGTGCGTATTTCACCAACATTGAGTTTCCACTTGTCACCTGACATGTTTCTATGAACTGGACTTGCAGTGGACTTATTTCAGGTTTATTATTAATATCTTCAGCGCTGCACTGTTTTTATGTTATTCTGTATAAGTACTTATTGGTTGCTTAGAGTGCTCAGCTGCTGTTTAGGACCAGCGCTCACTGTTTTTTCCTTTTAAATTCTTTATATTTGTTTTTTTTCCTAATATATAAAAACCTTTGCTTTACAAATCAATGTTTATTACATGCGTACAGAATGCCAGGGATGGTTTCTGGAAGCTAGATATGTTTTCCCAACATTTGGGTTTTGGTCTTTTGGTGGATGAGTTGAATGCAATTTTTGTATGTTCAGTGGTGGGGTTCGGGGTTTGGGAGTAGTCCAGTTGGAGGAGGGAGGACTGACTTACAGTATTCTCAGGTTTGGTAATTTCTCATTTGGGACCCAGAATTTGGAAGCTCAGAGATACTTTGGAAAAGAGCCTCCAAACCTTTTGGTCCTGAACTGGTTAAGCCACCTGCAAGAGATACCTAAAGAGAAACAAGAAGCAGTCAGCAGGTGTTTGTGGAGTGTGTAGCAAGATACACTGAGAAGTCAGAGTGGTTGATTACTTATGACTGAGACTCTTAGTTGCTGGACACCTCATCTTTGGCACCCTGAGGCAGACATGGATGTTAACCTGTTGTTAAGGGACAAGCCTTGCAGGCGGCATTTGGTTTTTGTACTAGGAGTGTGGACTGTTTTTTGTTTTGTGCTGCAATCAAGCTGCCTTGTTTTCCTTTTGAGTAATAAAAGACTGCTCTCTGCTTTTATCAGCATTGCTGGTTGATGATCCTAGGCTCTCCAATATTACAAGGGTACATTTATTACACAATATTCCAAGAGCATGGGTTTTCTATAGAGAAAGTTTGGTAAATGCAGTGAAGCTGTGTTCAATCATCCAATTATGAGTACACAAAAATGATTTTTTTTAAATTTTCCCTTAAACATGACTGGGTATTCAAAGTGAACACATCTTCAACGTATTTAGCAAGCTAAGGAAACCCTTTCTAAAGTGAACATTTATTTTGCTAAACTAACAACCTTCCTTAGTAATCCAACCAACCCCATTGTCATTGACTGAAACCTCTGAAGGAGCCGTACAAGAAAGAGAATAATAAGAGAAACAGTGCCAAACCCCTTACCCTTAATGACCCCTTACAAGTACAACTTTCCAGTCTCCAAGTGAGTTGTTTAAATTTTTTTATTCTAAAGTGGATTATAACTTCTATCCTCAAACCTATATTGAATAATAAGTAAATGGTAAAATTCTGTGGTCAGCGCCGTCCAAATATTCAGAGATGGGAAAGATAAGCCAAATTGCCTCTGTTAGGTTCAAGCAGGGTTGAGCGAACCTCAAATCTTTGGATGCTGAGCCTGAACCCCATTAAAATCAATTGGAAAATAATCTGTCAGATTAATAATGCTAATTTTCTAGGCTAATAGACAAGATGATGTAAAAAAAATAGCATGGCAGGAGCCTACACTAGGGAACATGTACTAATGCAAAAATGCAAAACAATTTCCATTTGGCTAGGAGCAGTGATTTTTTTTCAATTATTAAAGGGAAATATAAAAAACAAAATCACACACATACCCCTCCAAGGTTGTGCATTTCAGGGAACTTTAGGAGGGGTATTTGTGATGTATTTTTGCCCCCCCCCTCCCCAGCCCTTTGAGTGGGGTATGGATTTTATGGGGCTACCTTATTTAAAAAAAAGTGTAATCTTTCCCAGGAAAACTTTCAAGAACCTTAAACCAAGCATGCAGCTTGGCTGACCAGGAAAGGGAGGGCAAGCATGCTTCCCCCCCAAATCCATGCCAGGCCACATACCCCCCAGCATTGGGGGGGTACCTTTCCAGGGAAACCCCTGGCAAAGTACCTTGTTCCCATATTAATGAGGACAAGGGCCTCTTTCCTGCAACCTAGATCATTATTTGTGGTGATTTGCGAAGAGGGGTTTATCAGATTTCTGGCAGCTCTCTTTAATAAAAACCATCCCCAAGATACTACCCTCCTCCCCATGAACATAGTACCGCTACTCATTTCCAAAAAAAAAAAACAGGAATTCTAACCTATAAATAGAAACCCAAAGTTCTTTATTACCCATTTTTCCCCGCTGCCCTATAGCAGAACTACTGCTACAGGACTCCGCAAAATCACATATATACACGCAATTTGCATTTCCGGGTAGGGGGTGTGCCATTTGTGGCTAGGGATGTCAATCACCAGGTCTTGGATGGAGATTCCCCGCTGGCACCCGGTGAAAACCAAGTAAAGCTGACAGGGGAGAGACCCGTGTGTAAACAACACGGGTCTCTCTCCTGCCAGCAAGGACATGCTGCTGTGTATTTCTCTGCACAGCAGCATGTTTCCCTAGTAAAACAGCACACAGCAGATGATGTAAAACAGCACACAGTTAACCCTTTGATTGCCCCAGATGTTAATCCCTTTCTGCCCAGTGTCATTAGTACAGTGTGTCAGTGGCTTTTTTTATATTAGTGTCACTGGAGATGTCAGTGGCAGTTAGTCAGTTCCCGCCCAGTGTCAGAATGCCCACTGCAGTCCCGCTAAAAGTCACTGATCTCAAGTAGTTAAAAATTGAAAATCCCCAAAAAGGTCCCTCATTGTAAATCCAACATCAATCACAATGTCTACCACCCGACAGCTAGCTGAAAAAAAATGCATGACCCGATGAACACAACCGATCCTGATGGTAGGCATAGCTGAATGACATCTCTGAGCTGATATCATATATCCTTTATATGGAAGGAGCAGGAGTAATGGTGACATCATTGACTAAATATGGCCATGGTGGGGTCATTAGCAAGGATTCCTGGTGACATCAGTGGTTCCTAGCGATATGGTAGTTGCAAGCACCCATGGCTTTCTTAGGACCCAGTGACAGCGGGAAGCTGTCATATATAGAAGCAGCAGTAGAAATGCTGCCTCTGTAAATGATTTACAGCTCCCTACGAACAGGGGACCGAACGGGCATTTCATATCTTTTTTTTTTTCTTTTTAACAGAAAGCCTTGCTGAAAAAAAATCACCCCACTGTTCTTAGTCTCTCTACTTGTTTTGAGGGGTTATTCAGCTCTCATATGTTATTGCTTGCTGTAAGGCTGCAGATCAGTGACTACATTTGAAGAGCATCAATTCAATAAAAATTTTAAACGTTTGATCGAATCTCAATTCTGGATATTTGAGTTGAGCACGTGTTTGACCAGAATTTTAATTTCAGCACCTAGTATAACTATTTTAACTACCTGCATTTACAGTTTCCCTTAGTCCGCCCTGCAAGCCTTTGTGAAATCTGAGGTCATCTCTTTGAGATGGGGGGGGGGCAATAAAAAGATTTCTATGTGGCCTTGTCATTTTTAGTTATGCCCCTGTGTGGAAGTTATATCCTCCTGGCCTGGCCAATCAAAATGGCTGATGACTTTGAACCTGAAAGACGCTCGGGTGAAGATGGAAGTGCTAGTGTTGGAGGGCAGGAGGGACATTGCAGCTCTGTAGGGTATCATTTCACTAGGTAAGCATGCCAAAATGTACAAATATACTGTGCATATTGCAACATAGTGTATGGGCATAGCGCTACACTTTATGATTTTTAAGTTTGGTATCACACATTTTGGAGTTGGATGCTTTATCCATTTATATTTTAACCCAAACGCAGATGTTTTTTGAATATATAGTCCATTAAAATGAACGGCTGCCCCAAACCAATACATAACTGTTGAAATACAGTATTCATGTATTCTTTGTGCAACAACTACATTAATATTCAGTAGAGATAAATTCTTCAACCAGTAGATGGCAGTGTTTATAAGTTTGTAGCTGCATCTATGGTACTGTATGTATTTTCTCTGAATAAAGTTTTCTGTTTGCAGCGAAGCAAGCAGAAAAGCACATGTGGTCTGTTATGCAGGGCTATATACAGAAACTCTAACAGGTTATGAGCCCAGGCATAGTCAACAATAGCCAGCTACAGTAAATAAGTGCAAGATACAGCAATAAAAAGAAGAATGCAATGAAATAAAAGAAAATGGCCAGTAACACAGATGCAAAAAAGCTTTCAATTGCAAACCTGACAAACCAGAATTACCAGTCTTGGAAGTTAAAAAAATTTTGCTAATAAGAGAACTAGATAGTAGTTAACTAGATACAGCTGTTCTTGGTGCACTAGCATTGTTTTGGATGGTATGTATACAACTAAACATCATATTGTTTTATGCATGTAATTATTGTGGTATAAATTTTCATTGCGATCCATTACATTGTAGAATTAATTTTCACATCCTCATCTGTAATCTACCCTTGATGAAAGAAATTAACATTTTCTGAAACAGGTCTCTTCACATCTTCTATTGGAAGAAAGAGGATGCTGCACAACACCATTTCTTTGTTCTTTGAGAGAATATACAGCCTTCATGACCTGTTTAAATTTCTTTGTGATTTGTATGATTTTATTATTTTGTAATAAAGTTATTTTGTATTTTATCTCAGGTAATGACTATAATTGCCTTTAACCACCTCACGCCCGCCATATAGTGTAATGACGAGCGCAAGGCAGTTCTCTCGTTCTGGGAGGATGTCATCCCATTCTAAACACGCATGCGGACACAGCGGATCACCGATCAACGGAAAGAGCCGAAGATGTCGGCACGATCATGTGATCAGCTGTGTCCAATCACAGCTGATCGCATGTAAATAGGGAAATGTCGGTTATCGGCACTTCTCTCCCTACGAGCTGTCACGCTGACAGCTCGAAAAAAAGAGCAGAGCCGGTAACTGGCATCCATCAGAGGGGACATGTACACTGATCATCAGGGCACTGATGATCAGTGTGCCCTGATGATCTGTGTATACCTGTGTAGCAGTACCACCTGCCAGTGTCCATCAGTGCCAGCTGTCAGTGCTCATCCATGCCACCTGCCAGTGCCCATCCGTGCCACATCAATGCCACATATCAGTGCCTACCAGTGCACATCAATGTCACATATCAGTGCCCATCTGAGCTACCTTTCAGTGTCACCCACCAGTGCCAGTCAGTGCCACCTATCAGTGCCAGTCAGTGCCGCCTATCAGTGCCAGTCAGTGCCGCCTATCAGTGTGCATCAGTGCCGCCTCTCAGTGCTGCATATCAGTGTCGCCTAATAGTGCCATCTAACAGTGCCAGTCAGTGCCGCCTATCAGTGCCAGTCAGTGCCGCCTATCAGTTCCATATATGAGTGATGCCATTCAGTGCTCATCAGTGATGCCTGTCCATGCCCATCAGTGCCACCTACCAGTGCCTCATCAGTGCCACCTATCAGTGTCCATCAGTGCAACCTATCAGTGCCCATCACTCCAGCCTCATTAGCGCACATCAGTGAAGGAGAAAAATCACTTATTTACAAAATGTTATAACAAAAACTAATAAAAAACGTTTTTTTTAAATTTTCAGTGGTTTTTGGTTTTTTTAAGAAAATATAAAAAACCCAGAGGTGATTAAATACCACCAAAAGAAAGCTCTGTCCGTCTCAAAAAAATTATTAAAAATTTCATATGGGTACAGTGTTGCATGACCGTGCAATTGTCATTCAAAGTATGATAGCGCTGAAAGCTGGAAATTGGCCTGGGCACGAAGGGGGTATAAGTGCCCTGTAGGCTAGTGGTTAAAGTCCCACTTTTTTGTTTTTTTAGGGGTTTTCTCTGGTTTCTGCTAATAAGAGAAGGTACGTGGAAATGTATAAATTAACTCAGGCCAGAACACCCTTTGGATGAATGGATAAAGATCAGAAAGCTCAGAGCACAATCTCTGGTAGCATAGAAGATGATCAAATTATACATATACAGTATGTGTGAAACTGCTAAAGAAATGTGGGAAGGATTACAAAAGTTACATGAAAGAGCTAATCTCAGCAATAAACTGTACTTGATTAGAAAGCTATACCAAACCAAGCTGATGACAGGCCAGGATATGCAGGATCACATAAGGCACATGAATGCCTGAAAGGTATAGAAGAAAAAAATAAAAGATTTTCATTTCAAAGCAATATTACTTAGTGTTTTACAAGAAAGTTATGAAATGCTTGTCACAGTACTTGTTGCAAAATTTCAGACGAACTGAAATTGAAATATGTTAAGGGCAAGCTTGTGGATGAATATAAGTGTACAGAACGCATTAATAGTGATGGTGCCTCTGTCGCAGAGTCTGCTCTAAAGATGAAAAAAAAAGAATAAAAATGGTAATGGGGGTGCTCATGAGCAGTGGCCTAAGATGGTCGCATAGTGGGCACGCTCCTCACCCACCGGACAAATCGGAGGTCTTGCTGCTTCCAGGGGGATAAATCACCCACCCACTACCCCCCACCTCCTACAAGCTGAACCCCGACCTCAATTTTCGGGATCTGCTACCACCCACGGGACGGGCTGCCGCTACTTACCTGCTGGGCCTGATCAGGCCACAGCAGAACTTAACGCCAGCGGTCCCTTCTGAACCCCCGACCTCAAATCTGCTGGCGGACCCAACCTCCAAAACCCACACTGCGTCAGATGCACCCCTGTAGACCACCACGCAGGCTCTTTGGGATGCTGAGCTCCTGGGTCGCTTTCAATCCATGCTGAAGACTGAATTGTCTTCTGCTACTTCCAGGTTGGCGGAGCGTCTCTCCAGAGAAATCAGGGACTGGGTAACCGCACGAACAATCTCAAGGATAAGATGGACGCGGCAGCCACAGTACTCGAAAATCATGAGCAGGATCTGAGTGATCTTAAGAAAGAATTGGCGGACACGTTGCTCAGGCTTGAAGATTTCGAAAATCTCCGCCGTGGTAACTTACATCTGCGGGGCCTTCCAGAAACTGTCACAGATCTCACCTCAACCGCTACTGTGCTGTTCCAAGAGCTGACTCCCACCATTCCTATTGATCGGCTTGAGTTTGACCGCATACATCGCGCATCGGATCCCTGACGGCCGGAAGGGCCCCCAAGAGACATTATCATCAAATTCACATACTATCACACTAAAGAGAACGTTCTCTTGGCGGCCAGGTATCACCCAGACCTCAGTTTCCAGATACATCGCTACCAACTCTTCTCGGATCTTTCCCAGATCACCCTCCAGAAGCGTCGCCAGATAAAGCCCTTCATCTCGGTCCTGTTGAATCGCAAAATTAAATATGCATGAGTCTTTCTGTGTCACCTCACTTTCACCTACCAAGGCCGTAGTCATTCCGCTGCCACACTGGAGGAGGCCCACCCTCTTTTGGAATCCCTACACGTTATCCCGCACGGGAGGTACTATGCAGAGCCCGGCACATTCTCCTGGATCTGAGACGGGACCGCCTCCTCTGGGAAAAGACATCCAGCAGGAAGAGGGCCCTCCCTCAGACTCCCCTACGCTCAAGTCCATCCTGCTCTTCACTGGGTTGAAGCTGTGTTCGAGACTTCCTCCACTGTGCCTCTCCTTTGAATCCTTTTGATGGGACCGTGAGTTTGGCCTACTGGGCATTTTTGGTTTTACTATTGTTATAGGGTTGGGTCCTGTTTAGCCATCCCACATGAGAATCCACCTTTGAGTTGGGGGTCACCTTCTGGACTTGAGACTTTCCACCACTGCAGAGTGCCTTGGGTCCGAGGCAAAGGTGGTTTAATTGGAGTGGGTGGTGTGGGCCGCGGGTTCCCTCGGGTCCTGGGAGGGAGGTTGGCTTGTGTGGGTCTTTAGGGGGCATTATGCTGATAGCCTTGCTGGGGTCTATCCAGCTGGAGTACCGTTCCAACCTGTATTTGTCTCCTCATCGGGGGGGGGGGGGGGGGGTGTTAAGTCCCTGGGCCTGGTGGGCTTCCTGTGGGATGGGTGTATCCCACCTCCTGGGGACTACGATATCTACTGATGTGGAACTCAGTTGGGTTATTAACCGCTTTATGTCTTATGTATATTGCTTTCCTTTGCCCCCTGGGGGCCTGTGTTATTGCTGTTTCCATTTGCAACCATGTGTCTGGTGGTAGAGCCACCTCACAACCAGTATCCTTTGAGTGTGGGATGCATTTCACCATAGACGTGATATGGCTATGCCATTGTATATACTGTTCGTGTTTTCTTTTTTCTTCTTCTCCTTTCTGGTTTTTCTGATCTTATTTTCTGCAGGGTTTCGGGGTGCCATAGACCGGCCGTCCTTGGGAGTGGACATTGTTGGCTGACTTTCGCCTTTTTTGCGGAGCAGCCTACACTGATCCTACCATGGCTTCGCCCCTTTTGAAAGTACATTCACAAGATATACAAGGGTTTAATTTGCCTCAGAAGAGGTCTAACGTTTTTCATCACCTCAAATCGCAGCAAATTGACGTGGTCTGCCTGCAAGAAACCAGGTTTTCCCAGTCCTCCGCCCCACGGTATCTATTGTCTCATTATCCCACTTTTTTCACAGCCTCGGCTCCTGAGAAATGGCGGGGTGTTCTGATATCTTTCAAACGTAATCTCCCCTTCACCTGTGTCCAAATACAGCAGACCCCACGAGCAGCTATCTACTCTTGCATGGCACCCTATGGGATCAGAAGGTCACCTTTGTCTCCTATTATGCTCCTAACCGCTTTCAGCACAAATATTTTTCCCATCTTTGTACCATCGTCTCCCAACACTCCAAAGGCCTCCTTCTTCTTATGCGGGATTCAAATTTTATCCTGAATTCCACTCTAGATAGGCGCTAAGCTCGGGATGCTGCCCCTTCTCACGACTTAGTGCAGGAGGAACGCATGTGCTTGTTCCTGCAGTCCGCAGGGCTGGCAGACGTTTGGAGGGAACTTCACCCTACTGAACGTGACTTTACATTTCTACTCCAATACTCAAATAGTTTCTGTAGAATCAACCACGTATTTGTAAGCCGTGTACCAGGGTGGGCTCCCCAGGATACAATGAAGTCACGAACGAGGAAAGCAACCTCAACACAAGCTTTTGCCACAACAGAATTTTACTTAGATGTGGCAAACACAACCACAAATGCTGGAAACATACAATAAATTTACATACACCCAGCCCAAAGGCTGAGACCCTTGTGCTGCACAGCACGGCGCCTTCTGATGGATGAAGGTAAAAAGTGAAGTAATTTACCTACTGGCGGGCACAACTAAGCTGCCACACCTTAACTGTTATTACCCTAAAAGAGCAGAAATCAGTGTATGGGTGTATAGTATGTGCTAGCCTGCGGTGCAGCAGAACAGCTTACAATCTTACACAAATCTACAGTATTCCCCCTCCCATAACTTGTCCTGTAGCATGTGCCTGAGTATTCCTTCTGAGCAAATGCCAGTCTGGCTTGAGTTTGTGGGATTGTGAAATGTGAAAATGTGAAATGTGGAGTCCTTCCAATAATCAGTAACAACACTTGTGGCCTGACACAGAGACCCTAAGTAACTATAGGCCTGGACTCAGTCTCTAGGCACCAACACTGAAATGAGGTGCGTGCACGATCTTACCGACCCGGGTCTGCTTTGCATCCCCTGGTGACTCTGAACAGAACAAATGTCTCTCCAACAAGCATGCGGTCTCGCTGTATATGTTGCTTAGCTCCTCTGCTCTCATCAGCATTTCTGGCAGCAATCTCATCAGCTTCCTGGCAGCAATCTCATCAGCTTCATTAAGCTGCAGCTCTGGTTACGGAGGGATGTTTTCACACCTGGATGTCATCAGATTCTTATCTCACACACAAGCAGTATTCAAACAATGAGAGCTGTTTCCCCATCTCACATGCCACCCCACTAGAGGTTGTCGTCCTCGGCAACCCTCCCCATACAAACTCATTCTGGGCATAACGCTGTGGGGGTACACCAGCATTGGGGCTTGTTGACCTTCGTAGAGTGACAGGCTCAGAAGCACTGGGGATGTCAGGCACATTTACTGGGAGAGGAGCCGCTGACCGCTCAACACTTTCCCTTGGTTGCAAACTTGCTATGGTTGGAGCCTCTGTGGGTACCGGGGCAGGGACTACCCACCATTCCTCCCCCTCCTCTAAGGGGATTTCCTTGTACTCTGAGCAGGAGGAGCCATCCCCTCCACGCACACAGGTTCATCAAAATTACATTGCCTCAACATGTTACGGTGCAAGTTTTGTGAGGGCCCCCCAGGCCCTATTGACTCTACCTCATAGACCAGATGGCAGGGTCTACCCTCCTCTTCACCGTGTATGGGACCGCCTCCCACCACTCATCCAACTTTCCAGACGGCCACTTGGCTTTGACTATCACTCGTTCTCCCGGGGCATACCCCTCCTTCTGCTCTGGTCTTGGATTGGGGTATACCACTTGTCTAAGGCGCTCCCCCACAACCTCGTTGATCGCTCTCAGTCGGCGGCGGTGCTCTTGCACCCATGCGGTAGTATTTCTCGGTGGTGGCTCCATCGGATTGGGCATGTGGAGATCTTCAATCTCCC